ATCATTTTATTCATTCACCACAGATAGGTTATTATTTTTTAAATCGATGGCTTATTAAATTACATCGATATTATATCATTTTTTATTTCCGTAAAATATTTTTCTGTTATCCGGATGCTAAAACATACCGGATGCATTGATTCTAGTTACTTTTGATCCTTAGATGTTAATATTTATATGATTTGTTATACGATATTTCTATTTGATATAAAAACGTTTCATTTCACTTTTAAACCAAAAAAAGTTTTAAATTTAAATTTTATAATTTAATTATTTAGAAAGAACGTAATCGTGGATCCTCAATGCCATATATGTTTCGATTACCATTTGCGCAAGGTGGTGTTTTCTCCGCAAATATGCTCGATCGTTTACTATATCAAGCACATGTCAAAAATTATGTAGTGGATTTTATTCGATTACTACTTGGTATTGATCAATCTAAAGGCTCCGGATATCTTACTAGTGTTAGCTTAGTTTCTCTTATTGAATGGATAATTTTAGTTTGCGTTCTTTTTTTTTCAAACTATTTATGTTTTTTTTCTTTTATCTGAAATTTATTTTGCTTCCTTTCTGTTATCTTTTCATTTAATGTTTAGTTTCTGAATATTATCAGTGATATTTTCAGTTCAAAATAACATCAGATGATCTTTGGATAGGAACATACGGTCGACTTTATCAAAAGCTTTGCGCATCTGTCGCTGATATACCGATTGGAATATACCGAACGATGCAAATGGATTCTGAAGTGCAATTTCATTCTTCCTTCCAATTCAATATCATTCATCCTGAATTGATAATATCCATTAAAAAATTGTCATCTATACTCTTTTTGGATTTTTTAACGAATTTGAATAATTACAACTATCATTTAGGTGAAATTAGAAGTTTCAAAAGATGACATGGAAAGATCCAGAAAGAGTAATAAAATGAATGTGTCGGATTTGGTGCATTGTACAATGCAAAAATTAGGCATACCTAGAGAAAACTATGGTTAAGTTTTTTTTTTCCCAAATTAAATCAGTCTAAAAAGATTGAATTTGCTCTATTCTGTGATATACAATTGGAAATACTTTCCTCATTCTTGTGCTAATAAAAAGAAAAAAAATTTTTCAAATTCTAGAATAAATGAATAATAATTTGTTATTTTGTAAATTTCATTAAGTTTTAAATTTTGCAGAGTATGATGCGAAATTGGGCACAATTTCATATGTAATTATTAATCCATCGCTTGACATTACTCTTGAAGCTGGAGATATTGTGTTCGTTACTGACATTTTTTTTTTAATAATTCTGAGTTACTAGAATTTAACTTTAAAATTAATAAAACTTTAATATCTTAATTATAAGATAAACTTGAAATTATTCATATTACAGATATGTCATAAAAGCACCAATAAGTGAAGATGCTGCTAACCAACAGCGCACAGATCCGCGACGAGGTTTACAACGACAAAAATTTAGTCTTCAGACTCCTTCCTATAATGTGATATCAGAAGAGGAACCAAAGAAGGAAGAAGAAAGTTAATATGTTTAAGTGATATCAATTTGATAGTATGTACGAAATGTGCACTTTAGCTGATATTTTGTTTGACAAATTGTAATGGTCAATCAAGTGGACTTCACAAGACATTGTCATTTTATCAAACATTGACTTTCTGCAGATAACTTCAGCATTACATATATTTGCTTCTTATTTATCGCTTCAGTATATCATTTCGATCTCTGTGGCGCAATTAGCTATTTTATGCTCATAATTGTTTTCATTCATCTGTTCTATCCAGTCATAGACTAAATTTCAAATAGCATAATGACAAAGTAAATGATGTCAACTTATAATTATTTGCATAAGAAAACCATAGACAGCATATTACACTAGCATTTTTTGAGCGCTTTTTCTCCGATATCATTTAGTCGATGTGTTGTCACCAATTAATAGTACATTACACGACAATATGAAGAGTTGAACTGAAAGTTCTCTTGTCACCAAAAAGTCAAGTATACAAGAATTAATTTGAACTAAAATTGTTAATAATAAATTTATTTAAGTAATATCCTTTGCTATCGCTATTGTTATGAATACATCGCTATTGTTCTGGAACTTTGTTATCATATCCTTTATTCCTGACTCGAATATAGAAAATTGGAATAGAGTTTGTTAAAGTTGTAGAAGATCCGAATGCGATTCATTAAAATTTCAGATGACCAGATATGCTTCATTAAAGTTCCAGAAGTTCCAAATAACAAGAAATCTGTCGTGTTTTACACTCACATTTTACTTGTCCTTTGACCTGATTGTAATATCATTTGCATATATTTAAATTCATAAAAATCCTTTTCATATAAGCGGCCAGCAGTACATTGTAATTATCAAAGTTTTGCAAATCGGCGCAATTCGTTTCTTCCATTCCAATAGAAATTACCATCCACTTTTCACATTCATATTAATTAAAATATGCGCTGGGATCCACTAACTTATGATGCGCAATTGTCGATAGAATGGATACAACAACGTCGTCCTCTTTTTATACTTCTCTTTATTGCATATACGCTGTTTGTATTCAATATGCCGCGAATTTGGAAAGGAAAAAGAAGCCAAGGCTTGGCAACGATCATTTTTTATTGGAATGCTTTCAATGCCTTGGCTGATATTGTTTTGCTTCTTGGCTTATTACCTGATTTTTTAAGTTCTTTCCATGAAGGCTTCTATTCAAGTTTATGTCTGAATGATGGGCTTTATAAGAATCCAAGATCGGGTAGGGCAATATTTAC